GGCTCAGTAGAATAAGCACTTGCCTGGCAAGTACAAGGGCCTGAGTTCCATCCCCAGTTCCACCAAAGAAAGAAAGAGAAAGAAACAAACCCCCTACACCACTTGCCAAATAGCTCAACGAATTAAAGCACCTGCATAGGCACACGCAGTGGCCAGGTTCGATCACCTACCTGCACCCCCCCCATGCAGTGCCAGTGCGGGCCCTAGTCCCAGCCCTGGGGTGCCTGTAATCCCAGCTCTTTGGGAGGCTGAACACAGGTGGATCACTAAGAGTTTGATGTACAGAATGTAGCAAGACTCTGTAGACCTTTACTTAAAAAAAAAAAAAAAAAAAAAAAAAAAAAAAAAGTATAGGGCTGGGGAGATGGCTCAGCGGAATAAGCGCTTCCCTGGCAAGCGCAAGGGTCTGAGTTCAATCCCTGGTTCTGCCAAAAAAAAAAAAAATTAACCCCCTATTAAGCAGGATAAGCACATACAGATGTTCATTTCAGTGAAATCTAATATTTAACTAGTATTTCATACTAAAAAATCTCTAAAAGCAAGAGATCAGTGTTAATTACTCTAATCTACCCTGTGATCATTCCCTAAACACAAATATATTTTCTCATTTTGCTCTTCCCTTCATCTGGAGGGGGCTTTTCCTACTTACCTGTATTTTCCTTGATTAAAAACTCTACCTATGCTTCAAAGTTCACCCTAAATACCTTCTCCTCTCCTACACAGAAATCTCTTCATCCACTGAAGACACAAGTCAGGCACAGTGAACCTGAACTATTTTTTTCTTTACATCTTAGTCATATTCAGTTGCTTCTTCCAAAGCACCTAGCACAATGCCATATGCTAATTAATTACACACATAAATCACCAAACATAAGAGTCCAGAAAATTTGTACCTGTAATGAGAAAGCTTGGCAGAGAATTTAGTTAATGTATTTGATACTGTAAAATCTAAGTGAAGGCACCAGGAATGAAGACTAAAAAGATGTGCTACCTTAGACTAAGGAGACTTTTCCAACTTGAAGGGCAGGCTGAGCTAAGCAATAAATACCCAAAACTCATCTAAGAAAAGTTTATCAAGCAGGAATCAGAACACTGAGGAGAGTCTGAATGATATACATGAGACTTTACATGGAAGTAGCATAGATGAGAAGACAGAAGAAAAAGCACATGTAGGCCATAAGAAGTCTGAATCTGATCAGCAATTAAACTGTAACTTTTTGAGACAGTAGTTCACTATGTAGTCCAGACTTGCCTTTAACTCGCTACATAGTCCATCAGGCCTCAACATCATAGGGATATGCCCCATGCCCAGCAAGCGATGACTTTGACAAAATGGAAACTATTTCACCGATTTAAAAAAAAAAAAGCATTTACATATATGAACGAAACAAGTCCCACAGAAAATTTTCCTCAGGACCGGGAGATGGCTCAGTGGAATAAGTGCTTCCCTGGTAAGCACAAGGGCCTGAGTTCAACCCCTGGTTCCGCCAAAAAAAAAAAAGAAAGAGAAAATTATCTTCATCATGAGTAATATTCTAGTATTTTCCTTTTTTTTTTTTTTTTTTTGCGGAACCGGGGATTGAACTCAGGCCCTTGTACTTGCCAGGGAAACACTTATTCCACTGAGCCATCTCTCAGGCCCTTTTTTTTTTAATGTTGTCACAACCCACTGAATTTCACAATCTACAAGTAGATCAAAACCTACTCCTCAAAAATACCAACTTCTAGGGGCTGAGGAGATAGCTCAGTAGAATAAGTGCTTGCCTGGCAAGCACAAGGGAAAAAACTAACTTCTAGACACTGAAAACTCTGCCCAAGTTTTAAATGTCACTTGCAAAGTATTCTTCTTATGCATTCTTGACCTAGCTTACTGCCACTTATTCTAGCATATGGTTAAGTGAAAAAATTGTAATTATACATAAAATTCCAAACTAAAACAAATTCTAATACACGGGAATTTGTATTTTTGCTAGTCAGATCTAATCTGCCACCTTCAGCTTCTTTTAAATATTTGACACCTCCAAACAGTATAGGAAACACCTGAACTGGCTATTCCTCTAAGAGATAAGAATGGAGATATTCAGCTCAGATTGTTCCTAAACATGCCCTTAATGCCACACTGCTGGCCCTCTTTAATGTCTAAAGTGCCATATGCTTCATTCCACAAGTACTAAGCTGTCTGGGATCACTGGACCTGTAATCACAGCAAAGCAACCAACACTAGATAAGGCCTGTTCCTCCAGGGTTGTACAGCCACTAGGAAAAGAAAGTGCAAGAGCTGGAGACATTTAAGTGAGCAATAAAACAGGACCAGTTCTAGGTGACTCAAACATCTGTGTGGCTCTGGCCTACGATTTAACATCTGAGACTGTGTACACATATAAACCTGAAAAACTACAACTATTGTGGCACAAATGCAAAGTATTATAATCATGTAAATAGGAAAAAACAATCAAAATTTTCTGAACACTTACGAACCACATTAGCAAAAAAAAAAAAAAAAAAAATCAGCACAAATTTTTTCTATTGATACCACACATTTTGCTTGTCCTTGGTTGGTAAAATACAAATTATTAACCAGATGGAATAATTGATTTACACTAGTAAATATAAAACATTTTAAATGAGTCCAAAAATAAATAAATAATTCCAGACAGAACACATGCCCATTCATTCATTCAGTACTAACAACCAGGGTTCACGGGGTTTTTGTCATGTGCCAGGTATTACTACACCAGACATATACATTGCCTTATTTAATCCTGAGGATCTTAAAAGGTGGTGATATTGAGCTGGGGGATCCTGTCTCCAAAAAAAGGTAATAATTTTAGGGGATTTCATAGTTATGTGGCTGAAAGGAATGCACACAGATAAAAAGAAACTGAAACCTATCAACACTTCTCATGGGGTGGGGAGGCCTGACAGGCACACTAAGCACATGCTTTCCTGGTGTACTACATTCCCAGCACACCACTTCCTTGGAGTTCAACTCTTCATTTTTCACTGACACCTCCCCACAAACTAAAGCAACTTAACAGAACAAAAAGAAGTTTGAGTTGAGTCCTGGTTATTAAACCAAATCCAGTTATTTTTCTACAGTACTACAGTGTGATATATAATTCAGAACTGTGGTTTTTAAGACTAGGAAAAAGTTTCATTTGTAGGCACACAATGTGATTGAAAATCAACAGAAAAGCAAAGCAAGTGACAAATTTTGGCTAGCCTAACACTATTTGTTGCGAATAGCCAAGAACTGAGTCTTAAAGACCTGAGTTCTATCCTTGGTTCCACTTTTGGATTTTATGACAAGTTACTTGTTTTAAGTAACACGGAGTACTAACTACACAAACATAAAATACTAGTAACAATAATACTTAACACGGAACATCTATACACCAACAACTATTCTAGATGCTTTCTGTTTATTAAGCATATTAGCCTTCATAACTACTCTATGAAACAGATATTGCTATGCTCATTCTATAAAAGAGAAACTTAACTGTACAACTACTGCTAGAAATCAGAGCATAGGGGCTGGGGAGATGGCTCAGTGGAATAAGCGCTTCCCTGGCAAGTGCAAGGGCCCGAGTTCCATCCCCAGTTCCACTAAAAAGAAAGAAAAAATAGAAAGTAAAGAAATCAGACATAGACTCCAGCACAGCCTTGCTTGCAGTCTAGATTGACAGGGTCAGCCTCCCTAACCACTGTTTCACATCTCTCAGCATTAGTATTACTGTTACTTTGCAGGAATGTTAAGTTACATACAAAATAACTTTGAAATGGAAAAACATAAGCCAGAGTGGTAGAGCACACCTATAATTCCAGTACTCAGGAAGATCACTTTGAATTGGAGGCCAGCCTGAACCACACAGCAAGGCCTTGTCTTATAAATGGAAAAATATGCACTATTTAATTCTAATAATGACAAGTATGTCTTTCTTTTTACAATTATGAGTTTTGTGATTGTCTTAATGAACCCTGATAAATTAGTCAACAGGAGAAACTATGAAAATGTAGCTAAAAATCCTAAAAGTATCTACACATACAAAGCATACCAAGGCAGATATATCCCCACGTTCAACCTAAAAATTCCCTGTTAGACTAAGACCTACTGTAAATACTAGTTTTTAAGTTTTACACAGTCACAGCAAAATGTCACAAACTTTAGAAAATGTAATTTTTCCAAATCAAATTGAACTGAATCAGTTTGAATACTTAATAACTGCAGTAACCACGTGCGTTTGAATTTGAGTAGATACAATCTAGTGACTCAAAAGTGAGTGGCATCCACCGCGAAGTGTAAAGGCTTCCTTAACTCGGCACTTTCTCATCTAAGGATAACCACCTAGACTTACATCATAGATTCATTAAGTTAGGCTACTACCTCACGTCCCTATCCTAACTGCCAAAAACCAAGGGGGTAGGGGTGAAAGCACTGAACAGAAGTTAAAAGTGCAAACAATTCACAAGGCTGAGAATGAAAAAGAGCCTGGGAAGGTCAAGAGTTAGTAAGGGCTGTGAGTCCCATTACCTGGACATGGAGAACACACGCTGAGCTGGCACCAGAAGTACAGATAGCAGAAGCAAGAAAAAATAAGCGTTCCAATGAACCAAGGCAAGGATGGGGGAAGAACAATATAGTAAGTAGCACGATGGGACCATCAAAAGCCAGGACTCAGAAGAGCGCACGCCGCTGAGCGAGGCCCGGCAGCGGGAAGCCACCACTAGGAGGGGCAGGGGGCTCGGCGATCATGGCTGCCCAGTGGCAATGGGGTGCAGACCACATGGAGCCTGCCAGATCAATCCGCGCCCTCACTGCCCTCGGGACAGACTGCACACGGGGAGGCGGTGTGGGCCCAGTGCGCGCGGGCGCCACACTCTACACCTAGCCCCGGACCCCGGAGGCCACGCGTGGTGCTGAGACACACGCCGCCCATCCAGAGATCCCCAAAGCTGGACCCGAGAGGGGGCCCTCTCCCCCGCCATGTCGCTAACACTACCTTGGCCTGCAGCCGCGGTGGCGCCCAGGCCAGGCAGGTGCAGGTACCGCTGAGGTGCGCGGAAGGCACGTATTCCTGGTGCAGCCGGTTATTGGCTGTCTCCCACACTCGCAGATGACCATCGGTAGAGGCTAAAGCAAAGTAGGCCTGTCTGTCCGGAGAGAAGGCGCAAGGGACCCCCGCCGGGGCCAGGGGGTCGCAGCTACCGCCGCCACCCGACGCCATTGCTGCTCTGACTCCGCGGCAGCCACGTGTTCGCCGGTGCGCAGGCGCACATGCGGGGGGCGGGGCCAGGAGGGAGGAAGTGGGGCGGAGGGAGTGTCGGGAGTCCAAGGAGTGGTTCGTCACGCCGCGTGCTAGCGTTGGGATGGGTCCGCCCTTTGGACGGTGGCCCTTTGGGACCAGTAGCCTTCTAATGAGGAGGCAGAGGGCAAAGTGGAGGGGAGTGATACAACGCGCCGAAAGGCCCTTTGCTCCCCTCGTCACGGACGCTCCACCCCCGCTATTAGGGATTGAACTCAGGGCCCTTGCCCTGAACTACATCCCCCGCCCTTCTTTCGAGACAGGATCTTACTAAATTACCCAGGCTGGGCTTGATTGAATTTGCCTCATCCTTCCAGAGTGCTGGGATTACAGGTTTTGTGCTTCCACACCCAGCTCCGTTGTTTTCAGAAAGAATTGTTTCATAAAATGATTAAACGAAATATTTAAGAACCATGTACTTAATGCTCAATGATAGTAGCAACTGTTGCCATTTTCCCCTGTTAAGTTCTAATGATTTAACTTCTAAACTGCACTCTCACACACCGTAATAATGTATTCGATCTTGCTGGTCTGAAAGGAAGGAGGGCAGCAGCTGTTGTCTTTTTTCAGGGAGAAGCATCCCTTCTTGCGACATCCAATAGGTATTTTAGGGGTCCTGTGATGCTCAGTAGAATAAGCGCTTGCCTGGCAAGCAAAAGGGCCGGAGTTCAATCCCTGGTTCTTAAAAAAAAAAAAGATTTTTAAGTATCTCCTTAATGTCCCACCCAATTAGAGATTGTAATTCAAGAACTGCTAAATGGCCTTTCAGCCGGAACCGCCATCTTCCAGTAATTTGCCAAAATGACTAACACAAAGGGCAAGAGGAGGGGAACCCGGTGTATGTTTTCCTTTTAGAAAACATGGGGTTGTTCCCTTGGCAACATATATGTGAATCTACAAAAAGGGTGATATTGTAGACATCAGGGGAATGGGTACTGTGCAAAAAGGAATGTCTCACAAATGTTACCATGGCAAAACGGGAAGAGTCTACAACATTACCCAGCATGCTGTTGGCATCGTTGTAAACAAGCAAGTTAGGGGCAAGATACTTGCCAAAAGGATTAATGTTCATATAGAGCATATTAATCACTCAAAAAGTCATGACAGGGGCTGGGAGATGGCTCAGTGGAATAAGCGCTTGCCTGGCAAACACAAGGGCCTGAGTTTGATCCCCAGTT